GGAATAGAGTTCTTTTCAGGTGGGGAGGAGGAGTAGAATGTCTAACTCCTTAGCATCAGATCATGTTAATATAAGGCAACTGGCAGTAGGAATAGAGTTCTTTTCAGGTGGGGAGGAGGAGTAGAATGTCTAACTCCTTAGCATCAGATCATGTTAATATAAGGCAACTGGCAGTAGGAATAGAGTTCTTTTCAGGTGGGGAGGGGGAGTAGAACTCCTTAACATCAGAGCATGTTAATTACTGTATAAAAATACTAATGTTCTGATGATCATTTCAAAAAATCTTTCTTAGCTAGCACCTAGAAGACAAGAGAAACATACATGTCTAATTTCAAGCTTGTAGGCTTTACGGTTCTGGAGATTTCGTGGTGAGTGAGTGGTATTTGCCTTTTATATATATAGATGATTGATAGGACTAGAATAGGATTGATTCCAGAATACCTCAGAATTTACCAGATTCAGGGCATAAGTAACTCATTGAAAGTAAATTAGTTTTGCAATTATTTGTCAACGTGTCACAGACTGGGTGACATCAAGTATAACCAGGAATTCTGGGACTTAGAAGTACACATGGCTGGGGAATTCTGGGACTTGTAGTCTACAGGTCTTAAAAGTCCCTGGGATTGAGAATCATTGCTTTAAAGCAAGAACAGCACCTTAATAATGAAGGCGTGAGTGGGAAGGGCATATTGTTACAGTAGTCCTCAGCTTATGACCACATTTGGAAGAAATTCCATTGCTAGGCATGGAGGGTGTTAAGTGAATTGCCACTAGTTTAATGACCTTTTTTGCCAAGCAAATCACGGTAGATGTTAAATGAACAATGAGGTCATTAAGTGAATGTAGGCATTTCCCTTCTCCCCCTTTTCCAAACAGGAAAGGCTTCATTGTCCCAAAGATGCTTTTTTTCAAGAAGCAACTGGACTTTGTTTTTTTTTTAAAGACATTTTACTTCTCATCCAAGAAGCTTCTTCAGCTCTGACTGAATGGTGGGGAATGGAAGGATTTATACTCCTTGCAGACAGCTGGTCATTTGCATTCTTTGAGTCATTGAGGCCACTTGGAGGTTTATCTGCGCCCTTGGGGTCACCTGAGTGATGCAAATGGATGTGGAGCCTTCTTGGCTTCAGGATGTTTTCTGCCCTGTGTCCCTTCACTGTTGACCACTGTTGCTCCACACCTATTTGCACTACTCAGGTGACCATAAGAACACAGAAAAACCTCCAGGTAGCCTCAACAACTTTCTAAAATGATGCAAATGATCAGCTGCCTGCAAATGATATAAATCCTTCCATTTCCCACTATCCAGTCAGAACTGAGAAGCTTCTTAGATGAGAAGCAAAATGTCTTCAAAGAAAAACAAGAAAGTCCAGTTGCCTGTTGAAAAAAAAAGCAATTTTCGGACAACCCTGGCCTGGATGACCAAGAATCTCCATAGACAAAATCTTCATTGGTTGAACTTCTTCCTGAAATGCAAAATTTTAACAGCTTCACTTGGGAACTAACACAGCAGTACTGTTGCTTATCACTACAGAAGCCCATAAAGCCATCAATCACTGCTGCCATAAATATAATAACACTATAAACACAATCTGCAACACTTTTCTGTTTTAAAAACTTTTATTATCAGGATATGAAATACAAATATATATATTTAGAGAAAGGGGGTCCATTTATTTTCCAAAGCACCAGAAGGCAAGACAAGAAACAATGGATGAAATCAAGAAGAGAAGTAACCTGGAATTAAGGAGAAACTTCCTAACAGTGAGGATAATTAACC